AAAACGAGCCGAAAAAATTATGGGCAGATCATGGAGCAAAAGTGCTGCAGGCTGCCGGAATTCGGTCTGACATCATTCTTACGGGTGACTTTTTTCATGAAAAGCGGATAGTCCTTGTTCCGGTTCTGCCGGACCAATTCTAATTTAGTCGCCTTTCTGATAGGTCACGCTGAACTGAATGCTTTAGAGTACCCTCGACACGCGACGAAAATCATGCTCGATTTGGACATTGATAAGTACGACGCCGTATTGGTTATGAGTGGAGATGGACTCGTGACTGAGGTATAGAATTACTTTTCAGTGTTCCTTAGGCTGGTGTCAGAGTCCGCGATCCGTCGCGCGATTCGCGCGATTTGCAAAAATCGCAAGTGCCCCATTTGAACATTTGAAACACTGAATATGAAACAAGTAGAATCATGAACAGTCGTCATTCAACCATCACTATCAAGCAGAAATGGCGGCGGGATTGGAGTATCGATCGGGGCACTTCGATTTCTGCGATCCGGTCGCGCGAATCGCGCGGCAGATCGCGGACTCTGACACCAGCCTTACAGATTCTTGCTTCGTGGCTATTCTGTCTTTAACACTTCAGTCCAGTATAGCTAAAGACAAAAAGCATGTCGTTCTCACAGAAGAGCGTGATCTAGGGAAACTTGTCGCTAGATCTGTTAGCTAACCTGGGTGACCTATGTACGAATAGAAGAGCTTTTTATGATACTGTTCAATTCCGCATCAGCCTGAAAATTGATGTGCCCCAACTTTTTTGGTGGACGCGGAATGGCAACTGTGGAACTATGAGCTGAACTGATTCTTCTGTCTAATCTGGTGGTAGGGTCATCGAACATCAACGCAGTCCATTAGGCTCAGTTTTTTATGCATGTCGCCATTTTTCATACGAGATCCCAAAATTTCTCATCTGCACTCAAAATCAAGCGGCAACTGAAGTATAAATGGCATGGCGTTCTGCCACATTGCAGCTACAAGATCTGAGCACCCTGACACTAACCTTGGATGAAAGGACAAAAATAGACTTTTGCGCTCTTTCGCTCCTCAAAAGTTGACGAAACAGGCGCATTTTGACAAGGACAACATACATAAGCTCAAAGTGTTTTGTAAACATGACTTCCATTCAAATCCTTGACATCCATGAAATGATTTCCAGATTATCTGCGGCCTGCTCATGAGAAAAGATCGTGATCGCGCCCTCAAATTTCCGCTCTGCCACGTTCCCGGCGGAACCAGCAATGCTCTGGCAGCTGCAATTTGCTACGCTTGCAAGTAGGATCTATTCAAAATTCGTTTTTCATTTTATGCCAAATATTCTTACATGTGTTTTCTTTATGTTTTAGAGCATCCAGTTAAATCTATCGAAGAATGTCTTATAACCAATTGTGAAATCTTATTTCCACTAGTTCTGCAATAATTTCGACTTTTTTCGGACGGTATTGACGTGCAGCTCGCGTTGCGAATGCACCACAATTCGTGGCTATGAACAAAACATTCGCGTAAGGCCGATGTCAGACTTTGCGAATCGCGCGATTCGCTAGCGTCTGCGGTCGCGTCGCGGCCAGTGAATCACTCAATTGGCTGGTACCGCAACGCGACCGCGGACGCTAGCGAATCGCAAAGTCTGACATCGGCCTAAGGTGGAACTCTGAACTCCGAACCTCCCCCTTGCCAAGCAAGCGCTCTAAAAATTACGCTACTGAAGCATCGTTTTGCCCCAACTCAGGTTTTGATCCGAGCTTTCAGCCTAGCGAATTGGCGACGAATCGGCTAACTGTTCCTGCCACCATACCATTATGCTGCTTGGACCATTTGTTCATATACTCCTGAAATGCGAGTAGGAGCACAATGGTGACCTGGTGGCGTAACTTGTAGCGCATTTGCCTGGTAAGCAAGAGGTGCGGGTTCGAGTCCCGCCGAAGTTTTGTTCATAACCCAACATCCTTGCGAAACAATTTGGTAATTCTTATATTCACCTACTAATTACAATTTCAGCGAGCCGTTTCTCCTCGCAATCTCTTCATACTTGAATGTTGCCTCATGGCAACTCGTCCACACTACATCCCTCTCAGACTCTATATTGTCGATACACAGCACGATGGCACAAGGTCGATGTTCATGAGCGCCACCTGGGGACTTATCGCTGATATCGGGTATGTTCTCGGAAGGGGGATCATTAGGCAGACTCACTCGTGGAAGAAACATCGAGGAGGTCCCCATAATTTATAATACACTAAGACTTAAAGTCACGGGTCGCGATTAGATTCCTACCATCACAGCAGTTCTCTCCATGAGTTAAGATAAATTTATGGCTACGTGTCGAAAATGTGTGACAGAGCGCTAGGGATTTGCCTTAATATCCACCATTTTTACTGACATACACAACATAAACGGTGTCTGCAACCTCTAACACAGCCTCGCTATTTCGCGTAGTCCCTCTCTACGCCACGCTCTGTCTCTCCCACGTACTATGATCAACTTCTCATAAAGTGGTCATCCAATTCGAGCGTTTTTATGGATCCTTCCGCTTGTTTACCTCGCTGACAGTTCGCTTCGCACTTTTTGCTGCATTCGAGCGCAACCGCAGTCTTTTGGAAGATGCGCAGTCGTAACGTCACTTTCGCCGCGTCGCAGCAATCCGGACCTCCTGACCGACACCTTGATCAAGGTACTATGGACGTACCGGCTATGTCCCGTGGATTTAGCTTTCTATCTTAATGGCTACGGATACCGGCTAGCTCTCGTGGATTACGTTTCTCCCATGTATGCTATACGAAGCTTATTACGTGGATTATTTCTATCTTAAAGCGAGAAATTACGATAAAATTTCTGTGCAGCATGGAAGAACGAGCAGCACTTCAAGCAGTAGCTAGAGCCCAAAGGAATCGAGATGTGGCCTTTTTGTGACTAAAGGTGCGCTCGTTGCAGCGCCCTGGGGCTGCCAATCCTTTCTGAGCTCCGCCTCCGCCTGTGCTCCGCCCCTCAGCAGATCGCTGTTCGATTATCATTCTGATAAGGTATGCCACTTCGAGCGCGTATCCAATTTTTTTCTCATGGAATGCTATATCAATCAAGGTATGATCTCTGGTGGTATGATGGCAGCTATGGTTTAACGAGTGCCGACGACCTCTTAGTTGGTTGCCAACTCGTCCATTATCGGAGGTCAACGGGCAGAGGAAGTGGTCCCATTTTGCGCGTTTTTGACGGATTTCTTTGCTTTTTTCGCTACTAGGGCATTATTCAGCATCTTCACTTCCACTATGAGCACAACAGAATCCTATCGCAATCTCTCGCTTTAAAGGCAAAGATTAATTTTTGATTTGGCGAAAAATTGCACTTTCTAGCCCGAAATCTCTGAGTTATAATTGTTGCAAGTAAACGAACAATGTAATGAGCAGTGTAATGGATCGGAAATGAACCGCAAACCGTTTAGATTTGGGAAGCGAGCGGTTCCGATGGGCTGGCATGATTCGACTGCACATCGAGGCCATTCTACGAAGTACTGCGTGAGCTACTTCATTTTCAAGTACAAGTTACTAGCCACAGGTAGAGGGGAAAGCGGCGAAACGTAGCTGATGATTGGAATAAGTTATTGCTCGGTCATGCTTTCTACCTAGGAGAGTTCATTGTCTGGAGTAATGTCAGGCTTGTCCGCAAGGAGATTGAGCTAAAATTTGTGAATTCACCTCGTCATTGTATTGGTCGAACAGAAGAGAGGGATAAAGGAGCAGGTGTTGATTAAACTCCTTTTCGGATGGCGCCACGCATCCTACAGCATTTGGAATTGTAGTTGCATCTTAGTGCTAACTTACCCATACAATGTTGTAAGGTGAGTCTGGTGCTAACAATCAACCCACAGAAAGGAAAGATTAACCTGGAGGGGATCGGGTCGAAGTGATCCACAGTAGGCAGTAAGCGGCGCCACTGCCACCACACAGCTCCATCCTAAAAAAGGATGAACCAGATAGAACCTTGACGTTGATCAGTCCTTCTTTTTGCGGTGCGCTACGCATTCTGCTTCAGTTCGAAATCTTCATGACATCTGGATTGGATTTGACCCATACAATGATAGCGGGCACTTGACATACAGTAGCGGTCAAAAGTGTTCGCCGAATCTGTATTTCGTGCTTCTCTTTTTTTTGCCAGAAAAAATTAGTGGTGACCTCGGAAATTTTTTCTTTTGAATATCATGATTCTTCAAGACTTTGAGATAAAAACACTAGAAAACATAGTATATCAGTCTTTGGAGGACGTTGCTCAAGCGATAACAAATAATGCACCGAAAATCGTTTCGGCGAACACTTTTGACCGCTACTGTACGTAGTCAGCGTTTGAATCCTTCCAGGCGAGTCCGGTAGTGAATGACCATCCCTGCAGGAAGGGAGGTTTGGCTGGTCTAGGCATGGTCTGATGTTGTACAAGCCAGGGTTCTCTGATCACGAAAATGACGCTTCAGGTTGGCGTCACTAGGGCAAACCTGTTGGTATTATGCGAAATTAAAATTTGCCGGCCTCAGGGGAGAGTCTGCCGCGCTAGTCACTAGACGCAATTCTGGTCCCTATATCTGTGGCCCGCAAGTCAAACTATCATACTACCTGATTCGCTTGTCGAAGTTTCAACTTTTGATTAAAATTCTCCTGGAGCAGAACCAGAGAGATATTTACAAAGTCGCTGTAAGGGCCCGTGTTGAGTTTTCTCTGAAGAGACTGCTTTTCAGAACTTCCTAAAGTGGCTACGTACAGAGCACGTCTCTCTTATATCCCTGTGAACTGCAAGCAAACTTCCAGGATCACAATGTTGAGATTCAACTGTGACAGGAAGCTGTTCGGTGAAGGACACTTCGGACTACAGTGACGTCGATTACAGCGATGTCGATCAGGTAAGTGCTTTTGCTGTTGACAGCGGTCTATCCAACGTGACCAACCCAGTCTAAATCTTTCCATGGTTTTCAGGCGACTGAAGACGAACGGATAGAGAGTGGGCATTTCTCATCAATGGAGGAGGCGTTAGAGGACGTATCCCTAACGAAAATCCCTCCTCTGAGTCATCCTTTAGACGATACGTGGGAGACGGTGGAGGGAAACTGGGTGATGGCCAACGTTTCCACTCTTAGCCATTTAGGTAATATTCAATTTCCCATTATGTGAATCATTTTGTTTATTGTGGAATAAAATTCATTCCATTGTTTTTCAGATGAAAAAGCAATTTCTAAAAGTTGGTGCAATTTTTTTGAAATTTATTATTTAAATTTATTAACACCGGCTAAAACAAGTGAGCGAAACAAAGCTGATGTAATTTTCAAAATTTCGAGCTAGAGGTCAAAGATGTCGGTCAGTTTCCGTTGCAATTTTGAAATATGAAATTTCGAAAAAAAAACTGAAAAAAAACATTTCAAAACAAATCATTCGAAAATAGCTAGAAACCAGCCAACTGACGGATACCGCTTATAAGTACGCTTTTAGGCTCAGACATTCCATTTCTGCCGTCTGCTCGCTTAGACGAAACGACCATGTACCTGACTCTGATCGACTGGAATACCATCAAGACGCGACTACACATTGCACACTTATTCACTTTTATGGAAGGCAGTAGGCACTTGGCACATCCATGTATGCAGGTAGGTAATAATATTTCATAATCTAGTTCTAATTCTTTTACACTTCATGGGCGGGCGGAAGTGGTGTAGTGGCAAGTGGCGGCGCTCACCACGCGAGCGGTCCGGGGATCAAATCCTGGGTCGTGAGTCGCCCGGGCCAACCAAGCCTTCCATCCCTCCGGGGTCGGTTAATTGGTACCAGACTTGTCTGGAAGGATAAAAACATGTACTTGTAACCTCCCCTTCAAAAAGCGAGAAAGTGTCGGGTGCAGACCAAACACACAACTGACGACGGCCTCCAAGTAAATCTGGTTAGAAGTTGTTCATAGTGATAGCTGATTTCTGGTAAATGATAGTTGTAATTAGTGACAATCGATATAATACAACTGCAACAGGCTAATCATTTCATTGGCAGAAACAAACATTCCATATGTGAAGGCCCGTCGCAACTTGTTGGTGCATGGTCTGCACCCGACACTTTCTCGCTTTTTGAAGGGGAGGGTACATCGGCAAGCTCCCGAAAGTATTGTATAGGCCAGATTGTATTCAAAATACCACTAAATTTTTGAATGAAAGTAGGAATGCGTGGCGTAGCCCAAAACGCGATTGACCAACGCCGAATGTTTATATCATGCTTTATTCGCCATCTTACAGTTTCGACCTCTTTTTATGTAGGTGCTAGACTTCGCCTCCAGTCCCTAGCGATTCGCGCAATCCGCTGGTAGTGTCTGGTACCAGCGATGCTCCACCGATTGACCGCCTAGTCTAACACCTGCCCAGCCCATTACGGGCAACCTAACATCGTGCTTTTGGTCCTTACTCATCAGTAATAACTACAGTAATCTACCAATAGATCAGTGAGTGGCATGTGCGTTGTGGCCCGAAGGGCGCGCAATAGATATAGGAACAGTGGGCGCTCATCCAGTAAGGGGGGCATCAAGTGGCTGCCCTCACCCCCACCCCCCTAGACTGCCTACACTCCCCCTGGCGCACAGGTTTCTCGAAGTACGGGACCCCGTGAGCCAGGGGGAGTGAAGCCAGTTCAGGGGGGTGGGGGTGAGGGCAGTTATTAGACGTTGCATCACAATGCCCCCCCCCCTTACCGGATGAGCGCCGAAAGTGAATTTTGGTGAACATAAAAAAAATAAAACTCATGGCAAAGAATACTTGCCCATGTAGCGTCGTGGTGCACCATGTGCACCACGCGGACCGCAATGGAATAAAGGTGGAGCAATCGTAATTTGTTCGCCTAATATTTAGTGACGATTGGGAGATTTCAGGAAAGGTAATAGTCACTATGTACTTCCAGATATACGGGAATCACGTTCTTCCCGACTATGGATTCCACATTTGTTTCATTTTTATCTAGTGACTTCGAATAATTGCAGATAATACCTGGGAAGGCAGTGAGGGTCGAGCCATTGTCTGAAGGAGGATATTTCGCCATTGATGAGACCCAATGTGCGATCTGGGTCATCTTTTCCAGGGTCGATACGGAATTGCCACCGAAATATTCGAAGATTCTATTTCATCCTCTTTTCGCCGATGAAGCACTAACCTTCTTAAAAGATCGATAACGTTTTAGTATTAGGCCATGAAATTTGTAATAAAATCTTTTCAGGCTGGTCCTGACAGCCCTACTGCTTCTACAGTTATTGCAGAAAATGATTCATAGTGGGTAACTAGGCATTCCTCATTGGCGACTTGTTGTTGTTCCTTTAGGATCGTATTTGTGTTACATTTCGTCTCGGACCATTAATTTGATTTGTGCAACCTCATTAATGTACGCTGTTCAATTGTTTCAAAGATATATCGTATAATGAATATTCTGCAAGTATAGTTCGTCTTATTGAGGCATGGTGTGTAGACAAACTGTTTGTAGAAAACTCAAATTAGGCGGTGCCAAAGGTATGGTGGAGATACGCTCGATAAGTCCAAGCTCAAGCGTAGGCCGATGTCAGACTTTGCGAATCGCGCGATTCGCTACTAGCGATTCGCGCGATTTCGCTAGCGTCCGCGGTCGCGTTGCGGTACCAGCCAATTGAGTGATTCACTGGCCGCGACGCGACCGCAGACGCTAGCGAATCGCGCGATTCGCAAAGTCTGACATCGGCCTAGTAGTGAGTCCGCGCATAACATCGCAATGCAGTAACACTGAAGGGAACAAATTCTCCAAGACATACAAAATGATATTCAAAGCAACAGTCCAGGCAGAGTCTGTTGCTTCCAAATTATATTGGATTGAAGGATGCAGTAGTCCTAGTTGAGAACATATGAAGTGTAATTGTAAACAGAACTAACTCTCGGAAAGCGAACAAAGGAGTCAAAACACCTTAAAACTGGATGTGGATGAGAATTCCTCGGGAACGCCCACTCGCCCGCCGTGATTGGCTGCGGAGGCATTCGTGATCGTTTCGGGACCGCAGGGGGTATTTGAACTCGGTCCTTTGAAGCAGTCGATGTGGTGATGCCAATACGCTGTATTTCTACGATTTTTCCTTCTACCTTCAAAACATAAAACGGTTTATTATTGCAATTACTATTTTCCCTCAGCTATGCTGGCTACTTGCCAGCAATTGCAATTGGGGCGCATTTACTGCGGGCATGTTCAGACAACTCGTCCAACAGCGTCTTCCTCCATTGCTAAGTGGCAGAGGGGAGTCCCTGTCTAAGTCCCTGTTCGACTTTTTTTTTTTTTCTTTCATTATTGGTCAACTTTGCACCTACAACTTCATTATCGGTGGTTTTTGCCCGCGAATTCGTTCTTGGATTGTTGCTTTAAGACAGTGATCAGTGAAGTAGTTGACCTAGCACACAAGAACTGCAGGGAAGAATGACAGAGTTGTCCTCAAGCGTATCGAAAAACCCGGGAGCAGTGTCAGTAAGCGGCTGTCAGGATAACCTTCTTATTGTTTCTGTTTTATACTTCTGCCTTGGGGTTGTTAGATGGAAAATTCATTATGGCCATCGCTTCGACCTTCCCGTCGTTTTCAATGACCTAGGCATGGCTCAAAGATTAAGGCTTGCACGGTACCCTATCAAACGCTCATCCCCTGTAGCGTTTCCGACTCGTGTTCGGAACGCATAGAAAACACTAAGAAATAATTAACAAGATAAGCTCACCAAGTTTCCGCCAATAGTACCGCCTCTTGGTAGGTGCCGGACTTTACGACTATTCGCTGGTGATTTACGAAACACGCTAGCACGAGTTACGAGCGACGAAAACACCCAGAAACAAATAAAAAGATAAGCTTACCAAGTTTCCACCGCGTAGTGTAGCGGAGCGCTACAGAAAAGTAACATCATTCGCTACTGATGACTGACTGGAGCGATTACGGTAGGTCTCTTTGAGCTCGACGGCGATGACAGATGACGTTGTTCTGGAGAAGGTGCAGGCAGTGAAGGGCAGGAATTGCTTCTACTTACTAAGAGAAGGGACATTTCAGAAATATTTGGCTATAAGACTCCCGGCAACGGCGGCAATCTGTGCGGCGTGTTGATGTGCAATGGGCAAAATATCTTTTCCTCTACACTATCGATAGATAGACTAAGCTCTAGGAAGAGGGGAAGACTCCGTGTAAACAAGACTTATTATATGGGGTACCCCCCAGGAGGCCCGTCGCGCGACGAAGTCAGAGACGCAGGCGCGGCAGAGGACGAGTCGCACCGCATACTGTAGCGGTTAGGCGTCAAGTTCAATATAACGCATTACAGTACGTTCCACACCACTCACTCCACGGCGTGGCTCAAATCTGCTTAGTCGCGCTGCTTATGCTTGTTTTCTTTGTACTAGTACATCCCTCAGTTACCCCGACTGCTCCTTTTTGTTACGTCTCTTGCCTTTCCTCGCCGCGAAACTTGTTTGTCGTGCATGTTAAATAAA